CTCTCGGAAGCTCTCAAAAGCTCTCAGATGCTCTCAGAAGCTCTCTCGGGGGCTCTCGGAGGCTCCCAGGGGCTCTCGGAGGCTCTCAGGGGCTCTCGGAGGCTCTCAGAGACTCTCGGGGGCGCTCAGAAGCTCTCATAGGCTCTCAAAGTCTCTCGGAGGCTCTCGGTGGCTCTCGGAGGCTCTCAGAAGCTCTGAGAGGCTCTCAGAAGCTCTCGGCTGCCCCCAGAAGCTCTCGGAGGCTCTCAGAGGCTTTCGGAAGCTCTCGGGGGCTCTCGGAGGCTCTCAGAGGCTCTCGGAGGCTCTCGGAAGCTCTCGGAAGCTCTCAGAGGCTCTCGGAGGCTCTCGAGGGCTCTCGGAGACTCTCGGAAGCACTCGGAGGCTCTCGGAGGCTCGCAGAAGCTCTCGGAGACTCTCGGAAGCTCTCAAAGGCTCTCAAATGCTCTCGGAAGCTCTCAGAGGCTCTCGGAAGCTCTCAGAGGCTCTCAGAGGCTCTCGGAGGCTCTCGGAGGCTCTCACAAGCTCTCGGAGGCTCTCGGAAGCTCTCGGAAGCTCTCGGAGGCTCTCAGAGGCTGTCAGAGGCTCTCGGAGGCTCTCGGAGGCTCTCGGAGGCTCTCAGAAGCTCTCAGAGGCCCTCAGAGGCTCTCAGAGGTTCTCGGCCCCGCAGCCTGAAACCCACCAACGCCACACAGCCCCCTCATCGCATGCGAGGGCGATTCCTCGAGCGCCGCCATCATCAAGGGGCACGCGGTTGCTGGAGGCCGCACCTTGACATCGAAACCGAAGAACATGGAGGGTCCTGCCCGCGCCGCGGACGCGCGAGCCCCACGGGCTACCCCATGCGCCCTAGTATAGGACCGACCTCAGCGCTACGTTCTGGACGTCATCCGCACATCCAACCTCTCAGCCCTGCATCAGCCCAGGAAGCTGCGCGCGGCCTCGCCCGCCTGACCTAGCGCCAAGTTAGCGGCCGCACGTGTGCCCTGCAACCTGATGCCCAACAACCGCCAAACTCTCTCCTAGGAACATGCGAGGGCGATTCCTTTCGCGCCACCATCATCAAGGGGGGCGCGGTTGCGGAAGGCAGCACCTTGACATCGAGACCGAAGAGCATGGAGGGTCCTGCCCGCGCCGCGGATGCGCGAGCCCTGCGGCCTACCCCATGGGCCTTAGCATAGGACCGACATCAGCGCTACGTCCTGAACGTCATCCGCACATCCAACCTCTCAGCCCTGCCGCAGCCCAGGAAGCTGCGCGTGGCTTCGCCCGCCCGCCCTAGCCTCATGCCTGCAGCCGCGCACCCTACTCTCCGAAACCTGAAGCCCACCAACGCCAAGTTCTCCCCTAAGAACATGCGAGGGTGATTGCACTCACGCCGCCATCATCAAGGGGCACGCGGTTGCTGGAGGCCGCACCTTGACATCGAAACCGAAGAACATGGAGGGTCCTGCCCGTGCCGCGGACGCGCGAGCACTGCGGCCTACGTACGCAGCCTCAATCAAGCCTGCATCCGCACGCCGTAAGCCCCGCAGCCCGAAGCCCACCAACGCCAAACAGTCCCCTAAGAACATGCGAAGGTGATTGCAATCGCACCACCATCATGAAGGGGCACGCGTTTGCTGAAGGCCGCACCGTGACTTCGGGACCGAAGAACATGGAGGGTCCCGCCCCCGCCGCGGACGCTCGTAGCCGAATCGTGAGCCCCGAACCCCAGCTTTGTCAGAACGAAGGAACAGTGGCGCCAAACTGAAGAACATCGAGGATACCCTCACCCAGGGTGCACAAGAACATGGAACAAAAACGAAGAACATAAGGGTACCCTCCCCGAACCACCGAAGTTCTTAAGCCTTGTGCCGGCCGTAAATAAACTGATTTCTTATTAATGAATTGCGATTCCAGATGTTGCGCTGTAATGCAAAATATACTCTGACACGCGTCTGGGTGCATATTATCCGCCGGTCCCCTTGTGGGGCCACCAGGCTGTAGGCCGAAGTGTGCTGTTCCCTGCACCAGTTTCAGCTTCAAGTCTCCGATGTTACAATATTGCTTTCTGCTTCCTACTGTAGATTGTTGAAGTCCGCGCGATGGGCTACCACGCCCAGATCGCGTTCTCTGAACTCACGTGTGTGTGTGTGGGACATGTAGAAATTCGTCAAATTCGCGCCCCCGAGGCCATAAGTCCTTGTAAATTGCATAATGCTCGCGTCCCCGAGGCCACAAACCCTTGTAAATTACTCAATCGTTGCGTCCCTGAGGCAACACACTTTTGTAAATCACACAATAGCCGCGCCCCCGAAGCCATCAACCTTTGCAAATTCCGCCGCATTCGCATTGCCGAGGCCCAAAGATGGTTCCAAGACGGCCAAAAGGGGCCAGACGAGCCAAGAAGCCTCCCAAGAGAGACCCAAGAGGCCAAAATCGTAGATGATACGAAAGTTTTTGAAGGATTTTGGCCTTTGGCCTTCTCCCATTTTCGGCTTTCCGACGCTCCACGACGGCTCGAGAAGCTCCCAAGACCGCCCAAAGACATCCCAAGACGCCTCCAAGAGGGCCCCAAGACTGCCCAAGAGGGCTCCAAGATGGCCCAAGAAGCGCTCAAGACGGCCCAAGAGGGCCCCAAGACGGCCCCAAGAGGGGCCCAAGCAGGGGACCACGAACCGAACATTCGATATTTGTGCCCCGAGATGCCCCCAGGAGGCCCCAAGAGGCCCCAAGAGGCGCCCAAGACGCCTCCGAGAAGCTCAAACGATACCCCACGAGGCCCCAAGCCCCCACGAGATGCCCAAACTGCCTCCAAGAAGCCCCCGAGAGGCTCCCCACGACACCCCAACACATATACAAGAGGCCTCAGACCCGGTTGGGACTGCGCGCCCGACTAAATCAAGTTTCATATCGATGGCGGCAAGACGGGGCGCCCAGCCCCGCCAAGGATGGCATCGAGACTTAAACCCCCAAGAGAGAGAGAGAGAGAGAGCCTCCCCCCTGCTGTCTCTTTGCCCCTGGACCCACCCGCCCCCCTCCCCAGAGGCCGCGGGGGGCTCACGAGGCGCCCGCTGGCGTGGGCGCGTGGCGAGCAGACGTGGGCCGCCCAGAGGCGGCTGCCCTCGCTGGCACCCCACCCCTCGCCTCGCCTTTTCCCCAGCCTCGCCCCCTCGAAGGGCCACAACCTCAAACCAGGTGCACGAACGTACGAGTTTCCTGTTTGGGCGCCGTTTTCCCTCGCATTCGGGGCAATTCGCAATGCCGCTGTCAAGCTCACCGACCGCGCGTGCGAACCTACTCTGCCGCGCTGCGACGCAAAACAAGGTTGGGTTCTTGTTTACCCACAATATAAAGCTTAGTTCTCTCGAAACGACCAAGTTTGTTCTGTTCCACCGTGTTCAGGTTTCGCTCTTGCCCTGGACATGTGAACCAGACGTGCAACCAAACCTGGAGGGGGGGAACAAACCACGCGGCGTGACTTGGGAATGGAAAAGGAAAGAACGGCAGCTCAAGACGGCAGCTCGGTGAGTTGCAGAAGCGGGCATGTTCTGAGACAACTGGAAACGCACTTGAAAAGCACTGAGCAAGGACCGGACATGGCGCGGGCGGGTGAGGGGCATGCGAAAAGCTGAGCACTGAATAACATCTGCGCGGACAACTGCGTGGAAAACGGAGCAACACAACAAACGTGCGCGATCCTTCAGATAAGATGCGAAAGCCCGAATCGGTGAGTCAGACAAAAAACGCCCTGGCCGCTTAGAGAGACATCTGCGGTCTGGGTGTTCGAATCTCCATATCGGATGTGTCGGACCTCTGGGTCGTATTCGCGACCCTGCCAGTTTCCGCCGATCCGACTTCTCTCGACTCGGCTGCCAATTTCCGCCGATCCGACTTATCGATTCAATTCCAGGCTCTCCCAGGGAGCTGAGATGATGCTGCTGTGGGCGAGGAAGGACAGCTAATATATGCCTTCATTGAGAAATCGGAATCCAATCGGAACCGAAGGCGAATCGAATCGGAATCGGAAACCATCGGCATCGAATCGAATCGAGTCGGAAGAGTTGACCCTTCCTCACGCCCGCTGCTCCCTTGTGCTACTCGCGGTTCGCCTGACGATGATCGCTGATCGCTAATGTCCACTTCCTCGCTTGCGAACTCCTCCGTTCTTTCTGCTCTTTGTCGCTCCTGCTCTTTGCTCATCGTGCTGCCGGCACTGCCTCTCGCCGTGACAGTGTCTCGCCATCTCTCCTCAACGACACTTTTGACGTTGTCGGACATGAATATCATATCTTCTTGCGCCAGGATCAACGACGCTATGGCTCCTCCTCCTCCTCGTCCTCCTCCGCCCTTCCAGCCCCCTGCTCACTGGCTTGCTACAGTGGAGGTCCGTCCGTCCACAAGAAACCTTCCCCAAGAAACCCAACCCTGAGACCCCAGGACGTCCATGGATTTTTGGTTGTGGGAACGTTGCGCTCTCCATCGCAAAACCATCGAAACCCAAGAAACCCAGGGCACCCTGGAGGCAAGCAGGGTGTTTCTTGGCATGGGCCTCCACTGTACTTCCAACGACTCAGCGACGTTTTTTGACGCTGCTCGGACATGAAGACTACATCTTGTTGCGCCCAGCTCAACGACGCTATCGCTCCTCCTCCTCGACGAGGACGAGGAGGAGGGCGGAGGGCGGAGGAGGGCGGAGGACGAGTCGTCCTCCTCCGCCCTTACAGCCCCCTGCTGTCGGGCTTGCTGCTCCCAACGACGGGCGCGACTTGCACCACTCTGCGGCATCCCCCCGTGGGGGTCTCCGAAGGGGGGCAGGCCCAGGGCCCAGGCCTTTGCAAGCACGGGCTTCGCGTTCCATCCTGGACGTCTGGAACTCCCCCGGGGAGGAGGGAGGAAGAAGAGAGGAAGAGCAGGAGGAAGAGAGAAGAGGAACGGGGTGCGGGGGAGGGGGGAGGAGGAAGAAGGGAGGAGGGAAGGGAGGGGTCAGAGGGCAGAGAAGGAGGAGATCCGGGAGGGGCCTGTCAAAGAGGTACTTCCTGATGGTGGGCTTCGCCTGCGACGAGCCGCGGGTGCGGCGCGACCCTCCCCTGGCCAGCCAGAAGCTCAGCCCTCCAGAGCGCTCCCCTCCCCTCCGCAGCTCATGTGTTCAGCCTCCACCCTGGAGATCTCGCGTTTCCAGCCTGGACGTTCAAGCATCCACGGACTCTCTGGGCCATCTCCTGCCTCGTCGTTTTCCCCTCGTCCTCCTCCTCCTCCCCTCCTCCTCCTCCTCCTCCTCCTCCTCCTCCTCCTCCTCTCTTCTCCTCCTCGTCCCTTCTCCTCTCATCTCCTCTCCTCTCCTCCCCCCCCCTCTCCTCTCCTCTCCTCTCCTCTCCTCTCCTCTCCTTCTCCTCTCCTCTCTCCCTCTCCTCCCGCCCGCCCCATCTTCCCCTCCCACCCCCTCCCCCATCCAAGAGAAGTCAACCTCCCCCTCCCCTCGCTCCCCCTCTCCTCTCCTCTCGCCCGGGGAGAAACCGACTGGGGGGGGCCCGGGAGCATGGGCTCCAGGAAAGAAGGACCTCCGGCCTGCGCCGCCTGCCGGCGCCCCTGCGAATGCGATGCGGCACCCCACCGGCCTGCGTGCTGGGGCCACGAGCCAGAGCTTCGCCGCGGTTCAGCCGGGCGGTGAGCGCATCCTGCCCGTCTGGCGAGTACTGTGTGTGTGTGTGTGTGTGTGTGTGTGTGTGTGGGGACGTTCGGGGAGCGTTCTGACCCCCGAGCTGCCCGCCCCGTCCTTGTTTTCTTTCAGCCGCGTCCCTCCTCCCTCCTCCTCTTGCATGGTGGCACAAGTCGGCCCAACGGTACCCCTGCTCATGCCTTTCATCGCCAACGCAGTTACCCTCTGCCTGGCCGCTGGCGCAGAAAGTGTGCGTATGGACCGTGCGGAGATCTGGTGGCCCCCCAGCGTGCGCAGGCACTGCACGGAGGACCCACGCTCTCACAGGGGCGCGGTCCGAGGCGGTTGCTGCGTGCAGTGCTGGGCAAGCCGCTGGCAAAGCATGGCAAAGCCATCAACGACGGCTCGCTTGCACCGGTAGCTCCGATGACGGCCAGGATCGGCACTGTACCTCGCTCAACTCTGCAGCCAAAAGAGAACTTCGGAGGCAACTCCTGGGAGCCTCCCATACCCATACTATCTTGTTGGCTCTTGCGAATCGAAGCTAATCGATGCTGAATCGGCGTTATCACACCGAAGAAAGCTTCACCTCAAGCGCCGTGCCTTGCTCTAGCCTTGCAATCAACTCATCGCGCAGCCGCCGCGACGGGTCAGTGTCCGGAGTAGCCAGCTCGCGCCCGCTGACGGGGACTATGGACACGCGCATCCTGACAGGAAGTTACCCAGGGTTTGAGGCAATCAACAAGGAAGACCAGAGCGACTCTGGAGAGACCGGTCGTACTTTGAGCCAGACGGGGTACGGGAGGAGAAGGGGGAGGAGAAAGTAGGGGAAGTAGAGGACAGAGAGGTGGGAGAGGATGACGGACTAATATTGTTCAGCAATCCTGGGTGCAGGGCTGCTCGAGTCGCTCGGAGGTAAGGTGCCGCTCTGTGCTGCGATGCTATGACCCGCTCGTGCAGTGCTTGGAATGGGCGGAAGAGGAAAGACGGAGGGGAAGGGGGCGAGGGCGACAAAGTGGACGGAGAGGGGAAGGCCGGGGAGCAAGGAGTACCTGGTCAGCAGGAAGGCCAGGGGCCTGCTCCGGCACAAGAGCAGTCGTCTCAACATTGTCGTCGTTCAGGGTCGGCGGCACCGGCCGTAAGGCCTCTCCAATACCTCGTCAACAGGAAGGCCAGGGGCCTGCTCCAGCACAAGAGCGAGCCGCGAGTCGATGGTGTTGTCGATTGTGATCTTGTCGCCCTTGCACGCCAGCACCTGCGGGCGCCCGGCCGTTCGCATTCCCCACGGTGGAGGGCAGGGGGGAGTCCTCCAGCTCCTCCAGCTCCTCCTCCTCCTCCTCTTCCTCCTCCTCTTCTTCCCCCTCCTCCCCCTCCTCCTCTTCCTCGTTTTCCTCCTCCTGCTCCTCCTGCTCCTCCTCCTCCTCCTGCTCCTCCTCCTTCTCCTCCACTTCATTTTCCTCCTCCTCATTCACCTCCTCCTCCTCCTCCTCCTCCTCCTCCTCCACCCCCTCTTCCTCCTCCTCCTCCTCCTCCTCCTCCTCCTCCTCCTTCCCCGCCTCCTCCTCCTCCTCCTCCTCCTGGGCACAACCGTCAGCCAGCCTGAATCAAGCTAACCGAAGCCTCTTTGGGGCGTCACATGCGGGGATCAAAAACATGATGGACCCACGAACCCGGAAAGGGATATAGAACCGCATGCATGGAAACGTTTTCACGACACCGTATTGGGCGACGGGCACTTCCACGAGACACCCCGCGAAACAGTCCACGAGACACCCCATGAAACATTCCACGACGACAGGCAACCTCTCAACCAAGGCGGTGTGGTCGTGCTGGGGAGTGGTCGTGTTGGGGTGCGGTCGTGCTGGGGTGTGGTCGTGCTGGGGGGTGGTCGTGCTGGGGGGGTAGTCGTGCTGGGGAGTGGTCGTGCTGGGGCGTGGTCGTGCTGGGGCGTGGTTGTGCTGGGGCGTGGTCGTGCTGGGGTGTGGTCGTGCTGTGGTGAGGTCGTGCTGGGGTGTGGTCGTGCTGGGTGATGGTCTTGCTGGGGTGGGGTCGTGCTGGGGTGAGGTAATGCTGGGGTGTGGTCGTGCTGGGGTCTGGTCGTGCTGGGGTGGGGTCGTGCTGGGGTGGGGTCGTGCTGGGGTGTGGAGAAATCAAATCTATACGCACACATACGTAAAAATACATGGGTTCGTGCACCTGGGGAGGGCAAATCTACAGGCACATACGTAAAAACACACGGGTTCGTGCACCTGGAGAAGGCAAATCTCTGGGGCGCCCAGATCCCTCAAGTTCTACAAAACAAGCGATTCGCTCGAGACATCCTCGGTAACTCTGCGGAGCAAGCGTTTCGCTCGAGAGATCCTCAGCACACGAAAGAGTGGCCCGCACCCTGTGATTTATCGATCGGGATTTCAAAAACAAGCGTTTCGCCGGGGACATCCTCAAATTTTTATCCGCCGGCCCACCTCGACCTCGATATTTATCAAGGAAAGAATCCGCCGGCCCACCTCAGTTGAGGCACCAGGGACAGGTTTACCATACTAAAAGAGAACCCTGGGCCGGCGCTATTTCCGGGAACATCCCCACCAATCACCGATTAACACGCCACGGGGCAAGGCTGGGCGGCGCTTGCGGTATGTTTCATCCGCTGCCACTTTCGCCGCCAGCCTGCCCGAGCTGACATTGCGGCATCAGCGGGGGAACGCACGCCGAAGCTGCCACTCCCGCAGTGCCGCGGAAACAGCAGAAACTGAGACGGCGCCAAACAACGGGGAGCAACGAAGACGATCGCCCCCCTGGCTGGCTCCACGAACAAACACCTCCAACAGACGGTGCAAACACGATGCACCCGCTGAGCCAGACACGCAGGGGAAACAGAGCCTGCGGGCGGCATCAGCGGGGAAGGGCTGCCCCGCTGATCAGCGGTCACTGCAAGGGAAACATTCCCTTCAGTACCCCACGGCCGTGCATCAGCGGGGAGAGAGCCGAAACAGTTACAGCAATGAAAAAGACGGCACGAAGGCCCCAAATCAAACCTGCAACACCCACCACGGCCTCACGACAGCACGTGGTGAGAGGGAGAAAGGCGCTCCTTCCCCTAAAGCGGGGGGTGCCTGACACACGTGCAGACACAGCAATGCGCGCGCGCACCCACGACAACCACGCGACGAACGCGCAGCGACGCCAGGACGACTGGGCAAGTCGCCCCTGGTGCGGGCCACACAATAAACAGAGGGTGCTAGGGTCGCGTTGAGCCGACTTCAAGCGCGAACGGAGCCACGTCTCATCCCGCAAGGCTAGGGGCCAAAAGCCCTCGGCGGGTGCACGAATCCGGGCCGTACAACTTGAAACAAAGCAACTGGCAACCTGCAGAGCGCACGGGCCGCTCGGCCACGAGGTGAGGGGAAGGTGGGAGCGCGCACCTTCCCCCTGAGGCGGGGTGCCTGACGCGCGAACAGGTAGCGCACACACGCGCGCAGCGCGCGAAAGTCACGCGGCGACGACATGACGACGAGGCAAGCCACCCCTGGTGCAGCGAACGCCAGGACGGCGCAAACCTCCCCCCTGGTGCGGGCCAATCTAGCAACAGAGGGCGCAAGGGCCACCTTGAGCCGACTTCAATCGCCACCCGAGGCAGCGCCTCGCCCCACAAGGGTAGCAGCCAGAGGCCCTCGGCGGGGGCCCGGCCCCGACCCGAGCATCTTGCAACAAGAGACTGCGTGCGTGAGTAGAAAGCCGCAAGACCAGCGTGTGGGATGCGCGGCCATCGGCGCACCTTGCAACCGCCTATGGCCACGCGATCGGACATCCAAGCTCGGGCCTGGCAGTTGGCGGGGGCCGGCGCAGCAAACGGAGACTGAAAGGCTCGAACGAAGGCGCGGCTGTCAGCGGCCAGTCCGAGCTGTCTGAAGACGCCTCGCCCTCCCGCCCACCCGGCCCGTTTCCGCGCTCCTCGCGAAGGTGACAGCGGACAGAGGCCCGCTGCGGGCACGCGCGGACGGCATGCTGAGCTGGCGAGGGCGCATGCGCCGAAGCAGAAACGGCGTCCGGAACCGCGGCGCCAGCTGGCTCAGAATGATACGCGCGCTCAGTGCCCCGAGTGATCAACGGGGCCTCGTCGCCAGCAGTGCTGACGCCGTGATACAAGCTATCGTCATCGACAAGAGGGGGCGGCAGCAGCCGCCTCGAATCGGAAACACTGCGCAACGTGCCGCTGAGCTAAAATTCCACTTCCTCCCGCCTTTTCACAACCGCGCGCGCCCGCTTGGGAGCGCGGGGAGGGCGCGGGCCAGACAAGGGAACCATGCTCTGCGACGCAAAGGCCCCGCGCCTCCCGCAACGGACAACCTCGGCGGGCCTCGGCTGGGTCGGGAACGAAGTGGCAAAAAGCAGATGGGCTTTAAGCCCTAGACTGGGCAACTCTCTTAGCTAAAGTGAGCGGCTGGGGCTTGACAAACTGGGGCGAGGGAGGAACGTCGCTGCGGGGCCTCTTCACCCGATGCAAGCAATCTGTCTCTGCCATAACAGCTTCCACCTGTACAATCCATGCTCCATGCCCACGCGCTACCTTCTGATGCTGGGCAGTGAGTCGCTGCAGAACAAGACGTGGCCGTCGATCATAGGCGCGCGCTTTAGCTTCATCATCAGCGCACTTGTTGCCGAACGAGAGACGGTGCGACTGAAAGCCCCCCAATGCCATCCACTGGGAGACGTGGGACTTGACCTTCGGGACCTGGACCCCGCCCCCCCAGTCCTCGAGCTCATTCCAGATGAGCCCCCAGAGATGCGCCCAGGAAAAACCAGCGGATGTGGCATGCTTCTTACCCCACATATTGATCCCTTTCACGACAAACGACGAGTCGGAGTATATCACAATGTGCGGCACGGCGCGCAGAATAACAGCATATAAACTATACAATTCAACACCATCAATATCCTGGCGAGGGCCAGGCTGGACACAAGTTGGAACAGTGGCTATCGCATCGCCATGAGGCTGGAGCGACACGCAGCAAAAGCCAGCAGCAGGATAGGTGGGAAGATCTTCATGACGCGATCCGTCCATGACTATGTCACCTGTGAGATTCATCGGGTTGCCTTCCCACCGATAGTAGGGTTCAGGAGGTCACTGGAGGAGGTCAGGTGCACGCGTGGTCTACCAAGAATGCATCGCTCCAGGAACATCTCGATAAGCTGGTTGTGGAAGGCCTGCGCAGCAAGCAGCGCAACTCGCTCGGGAACAGGTGCACCCAGTTCCTCGATGTGCGGACAACGTGCATGCCAGCGCGCAAGAGTGCCATCACCGTCCTGACAGATAAGGCACTCAGGCGACTCGACCCAACCCTGAGCGTGCTATCGTGCTTGCGGCCACTGGCCCCCCTATGGCGACAGACCTCTGGCAGGCCCCCTCAGGGGCCGCGAGCAGCCGAGAAACACATCGTCCGCAGGGGTTCGATCCAGATGCCCTAGAGTCTAGAGAAGCCCGGGGGACCTCGAAATGCTCGGAGACCTTCTGCATCTGCCACGAGACGACCGCCCGCTCCACGAGGCGCTCTAGGGACCTGGGGCCGAGCTCCAAGGGGTTGACGACTTGGCCGTTCGGGAAGATCCACCGACGAATGTTGGTGAAATCGATCCCCTCTCTATGTAACGAAACCCAGACAGATGAAAACAAACAAACTGCCCCTTGATGGCCTGCCAAGGTGAGCTGCGGGACCCCAGCCTGGCAGCAGCAGCAGCAATGCCCCTCTCCAGCGCCCGCAGCGGCATACGTTCTTTCCAAACCGCATGTATGAAGGCTTTGACGGGCTCCGCGGTGGCTCGATAGATGGGGTCCACCTTAGGAGAAAGTGTAAGCAGCAGAGCCATAATGCGCGAGCGACCTGACGATCGTGAATCCAAAGCACCAGCAGCAAGCGTGCACAACGGGTCAAGCTCCGACATGCTCGTGCCCTGAAAGCTCGCGCCGATGGTGACCGCAGTCTCGATGGACGCACGCGCCATGCGCTCCAATGTCTTATTCCTCACACTGGCGCCCCGGAGATGTCAGAGCCGTTTGATTTTAGCCATTGCCACAGGAGTCCTTGCAACGCGCGCGCACCGACGGGTGGCGCTCGCTGCCGAAAAAAACACTTCAATCTTGCGATCAGAGTTTGCTGCGAGGGCTCTTACACAGACCAAACGTCGCTGCAAGTTGGCCTGCAACGATGGTGAATTCGCTCGCACACGGGACTTGTCAAGAACGACGACCATGACAACCTCCTGCAACTCATGCTTCAACAAAACGCCTACTGCTGACAACTCATATGCTGCATGATGGGCCCCCCGCTCCTCTGAAGATAAAGATCGTCGACGCAAACGGCAAGGGGAACGGCAGGGTGCCCCCTTCGAGCCTCGCCAGGGGGACCTATGAGCATCAGCTGCCAAAGGCAAGCGGCGTAGAGGAATCCTGGGAGAATGGCCCGGTCGTCCTGCGTCCTCTCGCTGCGCAGCCCCTGCATCTCCAAAACGCGAGGGGCCCGATGGGCCATGGCGAGTAATTTCAGCTGCCGAAGGGGGGGGGCCAATTATTTTACGCGGTCCGAATGAGGTGTTCGTGGCGAACGAGCTCGAAAGCTTTCACGGTCGAACAGCCACGCAGCCGCGTCGGAGCCAATGTCGGCGTGATTTTCAGCCCAAGCAGCTTGCGGCCAAACCGAGAGCTCATCCGACTTGTCCCGAATGGCCCACCAGAGGAAAATATAGTCACCTGCTGCCAAGCCTGCAAACTATCACGCCAAACCCGGGCCTGCACTCCACATGGGCAGTGCATTTGACCGAGAGGCCTGACTCCTCCGAACCTCTTAACTATGAACCCAATACGCGTGGTCATCGGCGGCCACTGGACCTGCCGCTCAATCATGAAGATGAGCTGGCACAAGATCAGCAATGCTTCATCGGGGAGTCGTAAGAGCTGTCTTCGTGGCAACTGATCAAACGCACTACCCACCCGCAGGGAACGTCGAAAAGACTCTTTTGAGATGGTCCAGGGTGGGTGGGGGAGGGCGGTCACCGAGGTAGCGGGGCCAAGAGAGGTGGATGCGCTTCTCCGGCCCGCCACCATTTGGCCCGCTCTGCCTGCAGGGCGCCAGTCTCCTGCATGGAGTTGGCGGGCGCATACTGCACAGCGGTAGCAGACTGCCACGCACCTGGCAGCTTGATGCATTTAAAACACAGCAGCCGACCCGTTCACCAAATTCTTCCTGGCCCAATGCCCCCGCGCAGCTGTCTCGTGAGTAGCGGCGACGCGAATCAGGGATAACGCTTGATCATTCGCAGGCTCAGCAAGCACCAGGGCAAGCGACAAGCACAGATCATAATGCTGCAGGTGGTCCAGCATCCGACATAATTGCATCACGTAGCCAGACTGCACGAGCTGCGATGCCTGCGACTTCCTCGCCGCGTTCACTACCTGCCGAATCCTGCTGACACTGCATGGCTTGGCGACGGCATGAAACATCTGGGAAACATTTCTCCGTCATATCGCGGGCGGGCTGACCCGGAGAAACGCTGGCGGCCCAGGTCGCCCAGGAGATGCCCGGCGGAAGCGAGCGGTCCTACGGCGCCCACCGAATCCAGCGGCCTGGTCGAGGTCAACCTGGCGAACCTCAAGCAGCCCCGACTCGGCCGCCGTGACAAACTGGCCCCAGGACTCCGCGACGGTGCCAGACTCGACAACGGCCCGACTGAGGTCCCATCGATGCCCATCAGGAGGCTGACGGGGCCCAGCAGGAACCAGCAGGGGAAATCTTTTGGGCGCTTGAACAGCCCCCACCTGAACAGCTTTACGAAGGGCGCGCAGGTTCCTTATGACGGGGTAGCGAGGAGCCACGGGCACAATGAGGATGACCTCGGTGGCGGCGCGTGGCGCGAGCTCACGGCTGGCCACATAATAATCGATCGCGCGATCGGCTGGTCGGCAAGTCCCGTCGCTGTTGGCTGCAATGACACCGTCGATAGCAGAGGCCCATCCACTCTTTTCTAGAACTTCGGGCTCCTTGATGTAGTCTCCAGCGAACTTAAGTGGCATTCCCAGGGGCCTCGAGACACCTCCCAAGTGACGCAGTATGGCCCAGTTTCGCGCGGCAAGACCAATGCTGCGATGGGGGGGGGGGGGGGGGGCACTAGCAACCAGGATGCCTCCAGGAAGGATGCCTCCGACATGTAGAAGCCCAAGGCGCCCTGGATCCAAAGTATCAGAAGTCCCGAGAACCGTGAATCGACCAATATGACTTGGCGCAGACAGAATCAAGCCTCCTGACATGGCCGCGTCGACCCTGGGCTCGAAGTCGCGCTTCGGGCGGCGCAGCATCAACAACGTGAGTTTCTTGAAGGGCTAGCGTATCTGCGCCGGCAAGGGAGGAAGAGAGGAATCTGTCAAGCCCAACGCGCTCAGTGACATTCCAAGTCGCAAAAGACCAGGCACGCGCTCAGAACGCTCAGTGCTACGGACTGCTGCACCTCAGGGCTTCCTGCAGGGCGGCCTCGACCGCCTTGCGGGTGATGCCTTGGGCACTGGCCTCGCACTCGCTCGCGCCGTCACCGTCGGCGTCGCACCTCGGCGACTTGGCCGCGAGATCGTCGATCCACGCCCCGTCGAGGTCCTCAAAGCGGATGTCGCCCATGTTTGCATCCTTGCCAGGCGTAGCAGGCTGCCCACCGTTACCAGCAGCAGCATCTTCACGAAATTCATCTTGACGAACTGCTTCGGCCGCCGCAGCCTCCGCAGTCCGCTTGGCCTTGTAATCCATGGCTTGGCCGCGCTGAGTGATGAGGGTGTCGAAGTCTTGCATCGCGCTGGAGTTGGCACCGAGCTCACGAAGCTGCGCTCGCAGCACGGCAGCGGGGTCCAACGCAGAAGCATTTGCCTGCTGCTGGCCTGAGAGCTCGGTGAAGGCGGAAGCGGCCCGCTTGGCTGCCTCTCGCTCCTTCGCGCGAAGAACATCGCTCTCACCTTGCAATTTGTGGACACGCCCGATCTGCAGCATGAGGTGGCCACGTGCCTTCTCCAACGCCGTCTCAGCTTTCTGCACCTTCGACTTGCGGATGCCATGCTCCATCTTGGCCTCCCTCGAAACAGCCAAAATTGTCGCCATTGCGACCAGCACGCCGAAACACAACTTTGGCCCGAACAGCAGCAGGAATGAGTGGAACTAACATCAAATTGAGCAGCGCCCATGGCAAGAAGGGCTTCAACTTGGCCGTCGTCGAGCGAATCGATAATCATGGAGTTGGCACCACTCGCTCCACCGTTGGTCCCTCCGCGAGACCTCGGTGGTCCATTGGCCCATGCTCCCGAGAGGGGTTTGGCCTCGACTTCACCCGGGGCCGCAGGGCGAGAGACACCACAACATCAGCAGGTCTTGCGCCACATGAAATTGTTAGACAACTTCCACTTCTTGACAGAACAGGTCAATGTTTACAAACTCCACGGGTTGCGGACGAATCCTCCGCCACCTCTGCCGTTGCCGACCATGGCAAGCACCCAGAAACGAGCGTCTATCACGTGCAATAACAGTGTGGGAGTTACAGTACAGAGAATGCAACGGGACACTGGGGTTCGCAGTCGGGGGCGCACTTCCCCCACGCCAAAATCACTTCAAGCCCGAGCCACACGCTACGGACTTGAGCCAAAATGGCTACGGACCTCCTCCCCCTCCTCCCCCTCCTCCCCCTCCTCCCCCTCCTCCTCCTCCTCCTCCTCCTCTTCTTCTTCTTCTTCTTCTGCTTCTTCTTCTTCCTCTTCCTCTTCCTCTTCCTCTTCCTCTTCCTCTTCCTCTTCCTCCTCTCCTCCCTCTCCTCCTCCTCCTCCTCCTCCCCTCCTCCCCCTCCTCCCTCCTCCCTCCTCCTCCTTCCTCCCTTCCTCCTTCCTCCTTCCTCCTTCCTCCTTCCTCCTCCTCCTTCCTTCCTCCTTCCTCCTTCCTCCTTCCTCTTCCTCCTTCCTCCTTCCCTCCTTCCTCCTTCCTCCTTTCCTCCTTCCTCCTTCCTCCTTCCTTCCTTCCTCCTTCCTCCTTCCCTTCCTTCCTCCTTCCTCCTTCCTCCTTCCTCCTTCCTCCTTCCTCCTTCCTCCTTCCCTCCTTCCTCCTTCCTCCTTCCTCCTTCTCCTTCCTCCTTCCTCCTTCCTCCTTCCTCCTCCTCCTCCTCTCCTCCTTCCTCCTTCCTCCTTCCTCCTTCCTCCTTCCTCCCTCCTCCTTCCCTTCCTCCTTCCTCCTTCCTCTCCTCCTTCCTCCTTCCTCCTCCTTCCTCCTCCTCCTCCTCCTCCTTCCCCTCCTCCTCCTCCTCCTCCTCCTCCTCCTCCTCCTCCTCCTCCTCCTCCTCCTCCTCCTCCTCCTCTTCCTCCTCCTCTCCTCCTCCTCCTCCTCCCCCCCCCCCTCCCCCTCCCCCTCCCCCCCCCTCCCCTCCCCCTCCTCCTCCCTCCTCCTCCTCCTCCTCCTCCTCCTCCTCCCCTCCTCCTCCCCCTCCTCCCCCTCCTCCCCCTCCTCCTCCTCCTCCTCCTCCTCCTCCTCCTCCTCCTCCTCTCCTCCTCCTCCTCCTCCTCCTCCTCCTCCTCCTCCTCCCTTCTCCCTTCTCCTCCTCCTCCTCCTCCTCGCGCAGCTCCCTGGGAAGGGGAGCCTTCCTGCCCAGGCCGTGACGCGCGAAGCAGCGTGCCATTCTCATCCACGAGGGCTTCTGCGAAGGCCAGGAAAGAGGGGACAGCACGGCGGCCCGTGTTTCTCCTGGGATACCCTACTGAGGCACGAACTGGGATAGGAGGGGGGTGGGGGAAGCGGGAGAGACGACGGGAGGAGGGATAAGAGAAGGGAGAGGGGGGGATAGAGGGCGGTATGCACTGGAGAGAATCACGTACAGAGAGAAACAGAGAGAGAAGCAACGACGACAAAACATGCGATAAACAACGCCGGAGTGTCGCGCGGGGCCCGTCGCGCGGGGCGGCGGGGAGGCGACCACTCCCCCGAGGCAGGACCGGCCGTGCTCGGCGTCGCTGGGCGGCGGAGGCAGCTTCGTGACCTCGGTCGTCTAGGACCGTCGCCCGACTCCTCTTGCCCTCTGTGAGCAGATGCATCCTCCCTCTTCTCTTGATCACCCCCCTGAGCTTTCTCTTCCAATTACCAATTATCATAGCCTCACTCTCACCCATCCCCCTTTTGTTTGGCAGACATCTGACGCGCGTTTCTACTACACTTTTCGTAAGCCCGCGCTCCTTGTACACACAAGAACGACATCTGCCACCGTGCCGCGAGCTAATTACTGAAGGGAACGTGACGATGTACTGAGTCGGGCATTCAGTAACGAGGTAAATTGCAAAATGACCCGAACACTGTAGCAATGAGTGGTGACACATAAGGGAAGATCATGTATGACTACACCCTTTTAGGGTATGTTACCATGTACTCACAATTGGTCTGACCAGCAATGCCGGCTTCATACACTGGTGCGCTCGATTCCACGATTGAGCAAACATATACGGAGCTGTTTCCGTCCTCGCTCACGCGCAGCAAGACCAACTCCCCTTTTTATCCCGTCAAGCCCTGGAGAACGGCGACATCGCAAACAAGGACATGGTCAGATCCACGGTGGGTGATGAAGAATGGAGAAGACTTCGACCCACGACTGCGATTACGTTGGGTGCCGATGTCCCCCTTGGTCCAGCACCCTCTTTCATACATGGCCCTGACCTCACCTCATGTCCCCCTAGGCCCCTTTCTGGGCCACTCGACACCAGGCAATTCTCCAACACGCGGCTGATAGCCGCTTCAATTTCGATCCCCTCTGCGTGCGGCGGTACCTCATCGGTTCAAGCGTGCCGCTAACCCATCTTCTTGAATCAGCCCGGTCCCAGCTGTGAACCTCGCTGCGCGAGAACTGCAGGTGTTCGCATACTGCGCCGCAGCCTGGGCCCGCCAGCAGGTGGAACCTGACCCGACCCTGCGTTCTAAGGCCGTGGCCTTGTCCAACGTCAACTTGCATGCCTTCACAGCACCAGACTTCTCCTTCACAACCTCGGGAGCCCAACCAACATCCCCAGTCAAGATTCACTGCCGTTCCAGGTTTCCTAGCTCATACTGCACGTGCGCAGCTTTGTGGGAGCTCGCTCTCCACAAATCCACCCGAACCAATCCGACCACAGCCCGCTGGGCGTAGGTGATTTAGCGAGCTATCTCTTCCAACCCCCTTTTGCTAACCTCTCCCGGAATCCACTCCCCCCGACCTCGCCGCACCCTCCTCTGCAATACACTTCAAATATCCCCTGCAATCCGTCACCGTGCCTTCAGTACGAAGAGGAGTGACCGAAGGCGAATGCAGATGAGAGCGTTAGAGAAGCTCTATAATTCCGAAGGGCCCCAGACCACCAATTGGCCGGAATTCTCGGGCGCTGTCTTGCTCTTCTGACATGGGCTTCTAGGGAAAACCCGCCCACATCGGCTCTAACATCCTCCGAGAGCTTTCCCCCCAAACGCTCAAAAAGCTTAAGAACCATCGATGGCCCCAAGGATCTCTCATGGGGTTTTCCTGGGGGGCTCTTGGGCCGTCGTCTAAGTCATTGGGGCCAGACCAAGATTCCCAAATCATAGTACAGATGATGCTATGATTTCGGCATACTCGGATCTGTCCCCATTTTCGAAGTGGGGTTACTGATCCCCCCATCTTAAGTGGGGTCCTTGTTTTCTCTGGACACCCCCGCGCAGGAGACTGTCCCCATTTTCGAATTGGGGTTACTGATCCCCCCATCTTAAGTGGGGTCCTTGTTTTCTCTGGACACCCCCGCGCAGGAGAACACCTCACCCCCTCTGTCCTCCTCTCCTCCTTTCACCGTCACCCTCACCATCACCAGCCGTATCAACATCATGGACATCGCCATACTCTTTGCACACGCATCACCACCATCACACTATCGTCATCATCATCATGATCATCAGTATCATCAGTATCATCAGCATCAGTATCAGCATCAGCGTCCTCTTCCTCACCATCACCAGCACAATAACCAAGATCATGATCACCACCACCATCGTCACCAGCACCAGCAGCATCAACATCATCATCATCAGCACCAGCAGCAACATCATCAGCTTCATCAGCGTCAGCAGCATCAAATTCAGAACTCGAAGCATCGACAACACCATGCTCATCATGATCAGCACGATCATCATTATCATGATGATGATGATGATGATGATCATCATCATCATCATCACCAGCATCACCATCACCATCATCATCGACAGCATCCCCATCAGCATCACCACCATCATCATCATCAGCAGCATCATCGTCTGCATCATCATCATCATCATCATCATCATCATCATCATCATCATCATCCTCATCGGCATTATCAAATTCATCAACATCACCACTACCATCAACATCATCATCAGTATCGTCGTCGTCATCATCATCATCATAATCATCACAATCACAATCATCACCATCATCACCACCATCAGCACCGCCAGCCTCAACATCAGCAGCATCATCGCCACTATCATCACCACAATAATCAGCATCAGCATCAGCATCATAATACTAATAAAAAAAAATAAAATAAGCATCATTATCATCATCATCAGCATCGTCATCGATATCGTCATCATCGGTATCAGCATCACCATCATAAACCTCATCCACATCCCCATCACAATCATCATCAGCATCGCCACCAGCATCAGCATCATCATCAGTAACAGCAGCAACAACATCATCATCATTGTCATCAGCATCGTCATCATCAGCATCATCCTCATCCTCAGCATCACCATTATCAACATCACCATCATCGTCATCATCGCCAGCACCATCACCATCACCATCACCAGCACCATCACCATCATCAGCATCATCAGCATTACCAGCATCAGCATCATGATCATCAGCATCACCAGCATCAGCAGCATCATCAACATCACCATCATAATCAGCATCATCGTCATCAACACCACCATAATCATCACCATAATCATAATAAGCATCATCATCATCACCACCATCACCAGTAACATCACCATAACCACCATCATCAGCATCATACACATGAACACCAACATCGTCAACATCGTCGTCGTCATCGTCACCGTCATCACCCCATATCGGTATTGTCACCACCAACATCAGCATCAACATCATCGTCATCGTCACCGACATCGTCGTCATCATCACCATCACGACCACCGTCATCGTCATCATCGTCGTCATCGACATCGTCATCATCATCATCATCATCACCATCACCATCACCACCATCATCATCATCATCATCATCAGCATCATCATCATCATCATCATCATCATCATCATCATAATCAATATCACCATCACCACCATCACCATCACCACCACCACGATCAGCATCATCATCAGCATCATCAACATTCGGCATCGACATCGGCATCTTCATCATCAACATCATCGCGCAAACTCACAACTCGCACTCTCACACACACAATCGGCCTGAAGAAGTCTCGAGCGGGAGCCCCATCCGTGAGCGAATGGCGAGGACGTCTCGACCAGGAGCCTCTCCCTATAAGGTCCCTACCTCCATGTTCGAATCCGAACAAGGTCACCCAAACCCTGCAACCGTCGTCACGTTTGGGCTCCTCAGGCCTGAGTCGAGCGGCCCGCGGGTCGCAAAGGCCCAACAAGTCCCACAGGCCCCACAAGTCCCACAAGTCTTACAATTCTCGTAGATCCGACGGTTCCCACAGGTCGCACAGATACCACAGGTGCCACAGGCCCCACAGGTCCCACGGGCCACACAAGCCCCACTGGCCCTACAAGGCCCGCAAGTTCCACAGGTTCCACGCGTCCTACAGGGTTCGCAAGTCCCTCAGGTCCCACAGGTCCAGCATACCCTACAGGCCGCACAGGTCTCACAAGCCCTACAATCCTCACAGGTCTCACGAACACCGCAGGTCCCACATGTTCCAGGGGCCCCAGCTGGTCCCACAGGTCCCACAAATGCCTCAGGTCCCACAGGTCCCACAGGTAGCGCGGGTCCCACAAACACTGTAAGTCTCAAACGCCCCACGGAAACCATATGTCGCAACGGCCTCACAGGCCGCATCCTGGCATCCTGGCATCATCATCAAAAGTAGTCGATCAGGGTGACTCTCATGAGCACTAAGAAATGTTAGCTATCGTGGACCACAAGCTGTGTGGTTCTAGCAGCGCATGTTGTGCGCACTCAAGATGGAGCAGTCAATGTGGTGTTCTCTACGTGGCGCAATACAGGTTGTGCAATATACGGTGTAAAACATGTGTTGTGTCAGGCGTGCAATAGTTGTGGAACAAAAAAGTGGTGCAGTCCAGGTGGTGCAGCATATGTGGTGCAATGTATGTCGTGCAACCTATAACGTGCAGTATATGTGCTAAAAACCATGTGGTGAGCAGTAGATGTGGTGCAATCGGCATGGAGCAATCTGCGTGGTGCAGTTCATGTTGTGCAACAGATCTGGTGCAACGCATGTAATGCAATCGACATGGTGCAATCTACGTGGTGCAATACAGTCGGGTTGCTGAAATAAAGAACGACGCCCCTTCTTGCCACCAGACGAGCGTGGGTGCATGAAGGAGGCTAGCGGACCAACCAAATAAATACCCAACAAACAACGCGCCCCTTCCGGACCCGACCTGGTCTTTCGTTCAGCGTCTTGGCGTTATTTGCTGTGCAATTTCAGCGGAGCAATATTGCGCTGGCCTTACGGCCTGTGCCGCCGACCCTGGAGGCATCGGCTCTCGAGGGAAACGGGGGGGAGAGGGCGGGGAGGAGGAGGAGACGGAGGAGTGAAGGAGGAGGAACAGGTGGGAGGAGGAGCAAGAGGAGCATGAAGATGCGGAGGAAAAATGGAAAAGGTAGAGAAGGGGGAGCAGGAGTTAATGGATGGAGCAGGCAGGGACGACGAACACGTGGGGGAGGACCAGTGAAAGCTGTCAGAGAGGGGTGAAGAAACAGGCACGGATGATGCGGGAGGAGGTTTTCGGGAGCAGCTCTCGTTTCAGGGGACTACAACACTGGGGGCAGACAGTTCATGACATTTGTGAGTGGCGTGTTAAATTCTGTCCTCGTGTTGTCGTCGTCGTCCGCGTCGTCGGCACAAGGACCCCGAGGACAGCATATAACACGAGAGTGGCGTGTTAAATTCTGTCCTCCTGTCGTCGTCGTCGTCGTCGTCGTCCGTCGTCCGTCGTCCTCGTCGTCGTCGTCGTCGCCCCCGTCGTCGCGACGACGACGCGTCGTCCTTGTCGTTGTCGTCGGCACTAGGGCCCGAAGGACAGAATTTAACACGAGAGTGGCGTGTTAATTTCGTTTCGTCGTCCGTGGTCGTCGTCGTCGTCGTCGTCGACGTTGCACGCTTCGTCGTCGCCCTCGTCGTCATCGTCGTCGTCGTCGGCACAAGGACCAGAAGGACAGAATTTAACACGAGACTGGCGTGTTAAATTCTGTCCTCGAGTCGTCGTCCACGTCGTCGTCGACGTCGACGTCGACGTCGTGGACGTCGCACTCGTCGTCGTCGTCGTCGTCCTTGTCGTCGCGTCGGCACTAGGGCCCCAAGGACAGAACTTAACACGAGAGTGGCGTTTTAAATTCTGTCCTCGTGTCGGCGTCGCCGTCGTCGTCGACGTCGCACGCATCGTCGTCGTCTTCCTCGTCGTCGTCGGCGGCACAAAGACCCGAAGGACAGAATTTAACACGAGAGTGGCGTGTTAATTTGAGATGCCTCTTGGAACGTCTGATGGGCATCTCAAGTGCCTCTGTCCCTCGCTACCCCCCTCGCTACCCTTCCCGGGACCCCCCCTGCCCTCGCGCGGGGAAGGGAAGAAAGGGAAGGGGCTTGCCTTTGATTCAGAGGCGACATTGCGAATCCGGGAGGGCGATGTATCTGACCGAGAAGCCCCAGGAGGGCGGCGTATCTGACCCAGGACCCCCCTCGCTAACCCCCCTCGCTACCCCTCCGGGACCCCCCCCCCCCCGCGCGGGGAAGGAAAGAAAGGGAAGGGTGTT